TGACTCCGAGCCGACCAGTCCTTGTTTTAGCCCCTTAATGCCGAGCATTAAATTTACTTTCCAAATACAAATAATGCAAAATTTGCATTACCTCATAAACAGGTTATCTCGCTTTTTTTCATAAAAATACCTTTAAAATACTTGTTGTAAACATTACCAAACAACGCAATGAAGAAACTTAACACTCTAGACAATTCAATCAAAAGAATCCAATTCAAACGTATTAAACCACATTAATAATCTCACCATGTTACCACAGCGGAAACGTCATCAAATACCCTGATGATCGGTTGTGTGCGCACCCACTGGTGAGCAGAGCACACACTGGGAGAGTGAAAGCAACCTTTACACTCTACCAACCCATTCGTGACCAACTCGTGTTATTCCGGGACAAGCCGAATAGCGACTCGTGCCCCTCTCGTGGCCATTTTTGCGACCGGGATCCGTCTTAGCCCAAACGGGCATACCTAAAACAATTATTGTCAACTCGTTGCTAATGGTTCACATATATTTCCCCATATATTATATATATTTCAGATGCAATTTAAAGCACATCGGGACATGCGGAATTACACAGTATGATTGAACACATTTAACTGTGTCTTGGGTATATTTTTAGATGCAAGACATATGTAGAATCAAAAATTATTTCTGAGGGATTATTTGACAAAGAACTCGGAATCATACGCGCATTCTGATTGGTTTGTCGTATATTCGCACATAACATTCATCGATAGGGGGACGAGTCTTCTTGCAGGTCACGGAAAGGGGCGAGTGGTGACGAATGTCTACCAGCCAATCGAATGGACCCATGGAAACCTTATTGAACGCAACCTGGTTGTATTTAGGGCCACCCTTGGGCACACCAGAAGTCTATGATTGTCGGTGCAGGTCCCAAAGCCAGGAAATGCTGGAATACTGCTCGACATAACGGAAAGTTGACTATTGGAAGGTTGAAGTCATCCCTCTTGACACATAGTCTACTGGAGACTTCAGAGTGTACAAGTAATAACGCAAGTGGATGTAATTGTTCCAGTCTGTAAGTATATGACGTTAAACGTTGTCAGCTCCTCGGGTTATATTCCCGTACAAAATATAACGTCTGGATGGAGAAAGTTATATTGGAAGGTTTTGAATGTGTCAGCGTTGTGTCCGTTGTGTATGTAAACCGAGGATGGTGCTGTTGTCGTCCTGGCGATGACATAGACGATAATATTATATTTTGTATCCACCAGAATTAGTCATGTTTCTACATTCCACACCCACTGATCATGGTTTAGAGCATTCACTATCAGTCAGCATTTCTCATAAATTCGTCCACAAGTACAGGACTACAGTACAGTTTAGTACAGTGGTACATGAGTATATATACACACACACACACACACATATATATATATATATATATACACACACATATATATATATATGAATGTATGTGTATATATATATATATATATATATATATATATATGTGTATATATATATATATATATTAAACGGCGAAAGATCTTGTATGGATAAAGGAGTTTTGGCAAACATGAACATCTCGACATATATATAATGAAGTTATATGTAAAATTATATACATATATATATACATTATTATATATACATAATATACATGTACACACACACACGCACGCACGCACGCACGCACGCACGCACGCACGCACTTACACACACACACGCACCATGCAATTATATGTATTCAATAAGGATCAAGATAGCACCATACTGAAGCAATTTAGACACTTTAACGTAATAATGTATTGAAATGTTCAATTAATCTTTCTGGATTGGTTTGATCTGTTTGTTTTTTAACGCCGCACTCAGCAATATTACAGCTTTATGACGGCGGTCTGTAAATAATCGAGTCTGGACCAGACAATCCAGTGATAATTATCATGAGCATCGATCCATGCAATTGGGTTCGAGGACATGCATCAACCAAGTCAGCGATCCTGACCCCCCGATCCCGTTAGTCGCCTCTTACTTCAAGCATAGTCGCCTTTTACGCCAAGCATGAGTTGCTGAAGACCTGTTCCACTCCGGATCTTCATGGGCCGAATCCATCTGGACTTTTTTTTCGAAGGTGATAATGGTTGACGTTATTTAAACATATTTGACCAGATATAACGATTCCTTTCTATATGAATAAGTAGATGTTGGAGAAGATCGTCACACCTAAAATGATAGTGAAATTAGCCTCCAACAGCAATGAACTGCGGGGTGTTCACAGAAGCAGATCTCTCTGGGTGTATCCAATGTCAGCATATTCTGTTCAAGCTGTTCAACCGCGTGCCTGTAAAACCTAGGACATTAAGGGTTGGATCCGCATACCAATTAGGACGACAGGTGCGGCATACATCTGACGACCTATTCCAGTTCAACTGGTGTATATTGAATTGAATTGTTTGATGTTATATGCGATCAAATGTATTCGTGCATGTCAACATAAAACAAATATTTGCAGAAATCTCCAATTTTTTTGAAATTGATGGAGGATTATGTCACTTATGAACTTGGCGATATATTCTCCAAGCAATGCAACAGACATATGGCACGGCCGTCCCTCAATATTTTCGCCGAAATGTTGTAAACAGATCTAGACCATGAGGGCAACACCATCAAATGCTTTTTGGTCAAAGTATGGCGTGTGTATGGTTTAACGCAGTATTTCAGTTTTATCACTTCGTGTCAGCCTAATGTGGGAATAAAGCCGCTAAACATGTTATAAACAGACCTAGACAATGAGACAGCATCAAAATGCTGACGGTGGGGCACACACACACACACACACACACACACACACACACACACACACACATTTATATGTATACTCTTCAAAAAAAGAAACTTGACACTGACTATCAAAATGTAATATAATGCGATTGTTTCAAAATAGGACACAGAAACCATAATTGAAACACTGTTTGAAGATCAATGTACACAATGTTCAAAACATTAATCGTGTCACCTAGACAGACACACGTACACGATACAGTTAATGTCACAGGGGTACAGAAAAAGTCAGTATCGGTTGTGCCCACCACGTGCATCAATCACCGCTTGACACCGACGACCCATAGATGCAATCAAGTTGTCAGTGCATCAAGAAGCGCCGGAAGTGTTTGGGGCGGTGGATTGCTTCTGCGAACGCGTCGATTCAACTCGTCCAACAGATGCTCAATCGGGGACAAATCTGGTGACCGGGCTGGCCAAGGTAATGTCTGGATGTTGTTGTGGTGTAAGAAGTCCTGACAAACACGTGCAATATGCGGTCGAGCGTTGTCCTGCTGGAACTGTCCTCCATGAACGTTGACGTGAGGAAGAACGTAAGGCTGAAGGATCAAGTCTCTGTAACGCTCACCTTTCAATGCACCTGCCACATGCACGAGAGGCGTCCTAACACCGTGATGAATTCCGGCCCATACCATGACACTCCCGCCGCCAAATGATACAACCTGCTGCACACAGCTGGGGGCGTAACGTTCACCCCGACGTCTGTAGACACGTGCGCGCTACGTGAGTAGGAAACGGGACTCATCAGTAAACAGTATAATTTCTCCACCTTGCACGTCCCCATCTAACCCTCTGTTGGCACCAAAGCAGACGGTCTGCCAGATGACGTGGGGTCAATACATGACGTCGAACAGGTCTTCGTGCAAAAAGTCCTGCCTCCCTCAGTCTGTTGCGTACCGTTTTGATCTGATATTCTGCGTACCCGAGGGATCTGTGTGGTTGTAGACGTAGCTGTGGTAGTGCGGTATCGGAGGTGTCGCAGCCGGATGTATCGATCTTGTGCTTGGGTTGTCACCCTTGGTCCTCCTGACCTTGGTCTGTCGTCAACTCTGTTGGTGTTGTTGTATCGGGTCCACAGTGCGGAGATTGTCTGTCTGGATACGCCAAAGTGCCTGGCCACGTTTTGCTGAATGGCTCCAGCTTGTAATCTCCCAATGGCGTTGTTCCGTTGATCTGCCTTCAGTCTTGGCATTCTGTCACCGCCTCTACTGCCGTTATAAGGACTGTATGAACAGCGGTTGATTTTTATACTCATTCAGCAGGGAGGCCTGCATGCTTAAATACAGGTTCCTGTGCTGCACGTTTTTTTGGATTAAGCTGTGACATTGATCCCCAAACGCTTCGTTTATGTGCTTTGCATGTGTTTTCGCGAATTATAGACACATCATCTTTCTGTTTGACTTATTTGGTTTTCATTTAATGTAATTATTTTAGATATTTGGCAAAAAGTTTTACATCTATATCAAGTTTCCTTTTTTGAAGAGTATATATCTGTAGTGCATGCTATAAGCGTTATGATCGACTGTGTATGAACATTGTGCGGCACGGGTGGCCCAGGCGTCAAAAGGCGCTGCAGTTCCCTGTGCAGTGTTGCATCCATTGGGCACGCCAGAGACCCTGTTATTGTGGATTTGAATCCTGGATCACACCGATTATCTAGGTCTGTCAGCAAGAATACCCCACTTCGAGCCGACCAGAGCTTGTTTTAGCTCCTTAATGCCGAGCGCCAGTCAGGGTAACAAGGGTATTTTCTATGAGGACACAGAGACTGTTATTTACCATACTATATCTATCGGTCTGTGCATTAGTATGCATTTGTATTTATGAAATAACTAAGGCTCATGTGTAGGGTTATCAAAGATATCGGCGTGTTTGTTTGTTGGTTGGTTTGTTTGTTGTTTAACGCCGCATTCAGCAATATTCCAGCTATATGACGGCGGTCTGTAAATAATCGAGTCTTGACCAGACAATCCAGTGATTAATAACATGAGCATCGATCCAAGCAATTGGGATCGATGTCATTCATCAACGAAGTCAGCGATCCTGACCTCCCAAAATCCCTCACCCCCACTGTTATTCAAGGTGTTTGGGATTTTGTATTGAGACCAGGTATATGTTTCAGCTACAGCGGCAAAACAAGATAGTTCTTTCATTAAGACTATGATCCATATTCACAAAAAAACATTACAACATAATTTTATTGGCAGAATATTTATTTTAATTTTCCAACAATATGAAACGTAATATTATTTCCAACAATATGAAGCATAATATTATTTCCAACAATATGAAGCATAATAATAAGTGCTGATCTTTGTTCCCTTATTGGGAAACAGCGTCGTCTTCTAGACCAGGGTCTCCTCGGTCCGGCGGATCAGCAGCACGCCGTCACGGATGGGCACCAGGATCTGCAAATGATGACGTATCAGTTACGTTATGGGGAAAGTGTACATCTGGACAACGTCAATGGTAAAACAGCATGAACACTACTCTTGAAAGTGAAAGCAGTGCATTATAGCTATCGTAATGACAAGTTATATATGTTTGTTGTTTAACGCCGCAATCCGCTTACACCTACAGACTGTAGACTACAACCCTGGGTAGTCCTGGGTAGTCCAGGCCAGGCTATGTCCTCAATACTCTGAGCTTGACGAAGAACCGAATAATTAGTTTTGTTTGTTAGTTCTTCGTTCAACGCACTCAGCAATATCCCAGCTATAATGACGGCGGTCTGTAAATAATCGAATAATAATTTGAGATACAAAGACATGCATGGTGACATGAATCAAGCAAGTCAGCGAGTCTGACCACCTGATCCCCTTAGTCACCTCTTATGACAAGCATAGTCGCCTGTTACGGCAGGCATGGGTTGCTGAAGACCTATTTTACCCTGGATCTTCACGGGTCTAATGCCATGAGAGAACAACGTTACTTACGCATGTTCTTCGGATTCCGTCCGCATGTTTGCGTTACTGACCTCAGACTGAATTGATTGGGGTGCCTCTCGTTGGAAATATGCACTCACCATCCTGATCTGAGGTATGTTCATTGGGGTAGCTCTTAGTACAAACAAGTGTCTTCTCTTCCGAACTGGGGTATGTACATTAGGATGGTGCTTATTTAGCATGTACCTACCCTCCTAACCCTCGGATCCTTTTCAACTTGTCTGTTCAGGGCGTCGGTTGGGCTACTTTCAGTCAAATAGGAACTCCCTCCGCGAAAAGCGTTGTCAAAAGCGACCGTGCCATTTGCAGCCAGTAAACCTTGATCCATTATAACCTTGGCAAAACAATAAATTATTAATATACTGATGGTAATTATTTACAATCTTGATTGCAGTGACGTAATCAAACAATAGATTACGTCATATGTTGCCATGATAGTTCGGTCGGGAAAATAATAGCGAGTGAATGACTTTGGTTTTACGCCGCTTTAGCAATATTCCAGCAATATCACGGCGGGGGACACCAGAAATGGGGCGTGAAAATAATAACCTCAGGTATTCAATGTTTTAATATAGGATGATATGAGCATGTTTGACACTTGACACTATTAACACATTATGTATATCCAATGATGCAGTATCTTTTTATTTAAAAATATGAATATGTATACTCTCCTTCTGCAGAATATGTTGTGAGTACGTTTCATCATATGATTTCAGTTAAAACCATTATTGAAATTTTGTCGTATTTTTAGCGATGACAAGCGTCATTCAACGTCACAAGGGAGACTCACGTTGTAGTAGTCAACGTACGAATCTTTGTCTGCGTCCACGAAGATGAAATCAAACTTTTGTCCCTCATCAGCCAGACTCAGCATTGTGTTCTTGGCATGACCTGCAACAGTAGCAACATCATCCTCAACATCATCCTGAACACTGCACATCGACGGTAACGGCGCATCCATTTGATTTCTGTGTGTTTGAGTGTGTTGGGTGTGGTGATTGATTGGGTGGGTGCGTTGGGTGAAATTTTTTTTTGTTCCCTCCTGTATCCAACAAACTATTTTCCATCAAGCTATTCATTTTCACTAATAATACATTTATATCACATTACCAACAAACTATTCACTTGGGGTATAATGCTGAACAAAATAAAGATTCAATTTGAATACCCCCCCCACACACACACACACACACACACACACACACACACACACACACACACACACACACACACACACACACACACACACACACACACACACACACACACACACACTCACACACACTCTCACACACACACACACACACACACACACACACACAGAGATTAGGTAACGTCAGAAATAAAACGTCCATTCGTTTGAAATACAAGAAAGTATTTTCGGTAAGCTAAACTTCAATGTAAATTTGGCACGTAGGATGTTTAAAATCGGCAGAAATCACAGACTAGCTATAAACACCACCAACTCCTCGATCTGATCCCGCGGAGATTGATACAAACAAACCAATTCTGATGTCTATCTTCGTCCCATGAGGAGATTCGTCGAACTTCTTGCGGTTGATCTCCTCCAGGTACTGCTCTGTGTCGCACGTGATCACCACGCCCTCGGGTGGAATAGCTTCCGCCATTGCCAGGGCGCTGTACCCGGTAAACATGCCAACATCAAGGATGCGCTTAGCCTGTTGCATGCTGACCAGGAACTTGAGGAATTCGCCTAGGATGAGGAAAATTGTGGATGAGTGAAATGAATTGTTCAATTTTCGAATGTGTAAAGATAAGAGTGAGTGAGTGAGTGAGTGAGTTGGGTTTAACGGGTTATAACAGTATTCCAGTTATATCACGGCATGTCAGTTTAATGTGGGAGGAAAGCCCGAAGTGATCCAGGTCTCAGGCGTTTACCAATTCGGTGAAACCCACGAGCACGGGTATGGTGCTGACATTCGAACCCACAATCATAGGTTTCTGGCGTGCCCAAGGGACGCAACTCTGCACAGCGAATCGCGGTGCCTTAGACGACTGGATAAAGATAAGAAAACATATGACGTGGAAAGATTGGCACCATCGATTTCGTTTGGTATGAAGGAATATAATAGTGTGGCAGATACATACTATTGTATTATGTAGTTATGTAAATATTAGTTTTAAGTCATTTGAGCGTTGCGTTGATATTTGTATATTATTAATGACTATTGATTTAAGAAATGCAGGTATATTATTTCCGATTTTAATTAATGAATGTATTTTTTTTCTATCAACAGGTTTGGTCAATTTGATACAGACTATAATTATAAGACAAGGTAGACACAATTTTATGGAAAACAACTTCTTTAATACTATGAAAAGCGACGATTCCGTATCGATCCTTATACCGTTGTTAAGCAAACTGCCTATCAAACAGTATAATTATAAGGACACATAAGGTTTCAGAGTTTCAGAGTCTATTATTAGCTCTATAGTTAGTTTCATTCTGATATAATTAAGGGTAGACAGGTAGGGCTACAACATTATTACTTGGCCTGATTTAATCAACACCGATTGAATCATTTAAACTCTTGCCCTCTTTCTTAATTCAAATCTGCACTTCACATTCACCCTTTGCACCATCAGGATTGTAATACCATGAAGTCATTACCAGATGCAACTACCTCACAGGTTAGTTTAATCCTTTACATTGGTTCATAAGTGTGTACACTTTATATGTTATATTTGTATTTTGTGGGTATAATTAAAACCAGTAAATTCAACCTTAATAATGGTAAATCTAACCCAAAATAATATTTTAGTCTGGTTTTAGTGCATTTCGGAGTATAGAATTAATATAAAAAACAATCAAATAACTCATATAATTCATTCAGGTATTTAAATTTTCCCTACGAGTGAATTGTTGCATGTTTGAGTGTTTGATTGCCTGATTTCATATATGAGAGGAAGAATAGTGTATATGTGAATGTAAGTACGAATGTGATTTCAGCCTAAGTTGTTTTGATGTGTTCTATGCGTTTGTAATTGTAGCGGCCATAAAATTTCCGAGCCCCATGATGGGATTTGAACCACGGACCTTCTGATCCGAAGTCGGACGCTTTGTCCACATGACCAAAGAGGTTAAACCCGTCAGCAAGCTGACAAGGTATGGATGTCATCTGTGGGATGACTCCACGCCCTGCTACATACTCCATCGTCAACGGAAGGCACGTCCCGGGCCGCATAGTAGGGTACTGAGGCTTATTTTGCTCAAATTTAATATGAACGTGCTCAGTCCCACGTTGGGCGCCAATGTAGCGGCCATGAAATTTCCGAATCTCGTGATGGGATCCGAACCACGGATCTTCTGATCCGAGGTCCGAAGCCTTGTCCACATGACCAAAGAGGTTAACCCCGTCAGCAGGCTGACAAGGTAAGGGTGTCATCTGTGGGATGACTCCACGCCCTGCTACATACTCCATCGTCAACGGAAGGCACGTCCAGGGCCGCATAGTAGGGTACTGAGGCTTAATTTGCTCAAATTTAATATGAACGTGCTCAGTCCCACGTTGAGCGCCAATGTAGCGGCAAGGGAAATTTCCGAATCTTGTGATGGGATTCGAACCACGGATCTTCTGATCCGAGGTCCGAAGCCTTGTCCACATGACCAAAGAGGTTAACCCCGTCAGCAGGCTGACAAGGTAAGGGTGTCATCTGTGGGATGACTCCACGCCCTGCTACATAATGATAATAAATAAGTTGATTTGTAGTTACTGTATAATTAATGTAAACAATGTTAACACAGATTTTAGGTACGCTTGATATCTGGCTTGGCAAAGCTTAGTGAACGTCGTGTGCACCCTAGTGCCATACACCTGGTAGGAACAATGTTATTTTGCATTCTCGTTTATGTTTATGCGATACTGAGTACTGTATCACATCTATTCCATTTGACATGCGTATTGCATTAAGACGGCTGTGTCATATATATTTAATTTGAAGATATGAGTTAATCAAGGGGTTATCTCCCCTTGTTGTATTGTCATAATCTGTCATTCATGTTTCACTTAATTTGTGTAATAGACTGTTTTTAAACCTCAAGCATATTGTATGACGCTGTATTTATTGAATGATATGTTGTTTCAGGGTGTGTTAATTGACAAAGGAATAAAACGTTCTCATCCGTAACCAGTGTCTTGGACCTTTGATTTTGCCTCCACACTAAAATCGGTTACAATATTATAAGTATGGGCCTAAACTGTCTTTGCTTCTACACATGATCATCTTCCCGAGACAACGAGTCCAGTAGTCTATATTAAAGCCTAGTTTCCGTCTTGCCATTTCGAGCCTACCTTCATGGCTCAGTCGTAGCCCAATACCATGTAGAAGACGATGTGTGTCCCTTGTGATGAAAACGGATGGGTGTTCTTATCGCTTATCGCTTATCGATATTGATATAGTTCTTGTCGCTTATCGCTTCTCAAGGATAGTAGGCGACAAGGTCGAGCATAGATAACGAAAAGATTCAAACTTTTATCCATGATAGACAAACAGATGACAGATTATTGCCGCATTTCAATTTTATAGCAATAAAGGCGGACAGACTACACGGTATCACTTCACGCGGAAGCTTCAACAGGGGTCGTCTCAAAATAGGGTTGCATTTATTAGCACACATTTGACAGGCGATTGCTGTGGCTAGGGCAACGATCACATTTTCGGAACCCGGGAAATGATATTGTTAAACGTTCTGATTTGACTATCCATACGTGCAATAGTCCTCTATGTTTAAGAGTAGGCTTGAAAAAGCAAGGTGGAACCTAATATTTGATATAGGCTAGTGGACCCATGAAGATCCGGGGTAGAATAGGTCTTCAGCTTCCAATGCTTGCCGTAAAAGGCAATAATGCTTGTCGTAAGAGGCGACTAACGGGATCGGGTGGTCAGACACGCTGACTTGGTTTATGCATGTCATCGTATCCCAATTGCGTGGATTGATGCTGAGTATATCAATCACTGGATTGTCTGGTCCAGACTCGATTATTTACAGACCGCAGTCATTTAGCTGGAATATTACTGAGTGCGGCGTTAAACAATAAACTAAACAACCAACCAACCAACGCTTGCAACTAGTTTTACCTTCCACCTTCCCCGTCATCATCCCTGCTGCCAACCTCTTGCATTGGCCAAGCTTCTCAGGTTCTGCCCAGTCCTTTTGCTCTGTAAACATTCGAATTTCCCGCAACGTATCGCTCTCCAGGGAACAGTGCTTGTCGATGTACAGCTCTCGGCGTTCAGCTATTCCTATTGCCTCCCCGAGCTCCTTTGTGATGTTTTCATCGATATTCTTCTCTTGCGCAAGGTCATGCACTTCGCGCAGCTTCCGGTACACAGGGTTTCTCCTGCTTAAAGGGCCGTACTTCCCATGGGCGGGGAGAGCCTTGTCAGACATCACCAGTCTACACAGAAAACATGTGAAAATACAGTTATGTGGTTTCAAGAATGCTTACTCATATAAGAAAATATTAAATCATATAGTCATATATACATGTAGTCATTGAGTTATGCTCATATGCGGTTGGAAGCAAGTAAGACTTTGGTGATGGATAATTACTTGAGTGAGTGAGTTGGGTTGGGTTTAACGCCGCTTTTAACAGTATTCAAGTTACATCACGGCGTGTCCGCTTGATGTGGGAGAAAAGCCCGAGGTGATGCAGGCCTTAGACGTTTACCATTTTGATGAAACCCACAAGCACGGGTATGGTGCTGACGAAAATTACTTGAAGCCGTCGATATCTGCCACCGTGTCCCGTCGGCGTACGGAATACCATACCACCATAAACATTAGGTAAATAGTTTCTTTATGTTGCAATTAGCAACATTTCAGCTATATAACGGCGGTCTGTAATAAACATGTAATAGAGCGTAAACATGGTTGTAGAAATGAGTGAGTGAGTGAGTATGGTTTTACGCCGCTTTTAGCAATATTCAAGAAATATCACGGCAGGGGACACCAGAAATGGGCTTCACACATTGTACCCATGTCGGGAATAGAACCCGTGTCTTCGGCGTGACGCTCGAAAGCTTTAATCACTAGACTTCCCGACCGCCCCAGTTGTAGAAATGAATGTGAGAGGGACATGCAGTAGGGCGTAAACATAGTTATAGAAGTTATAGAAGTGAGAGCGATAGGTGATAGACCGCAGACAGTGTACAGATCAATGTGCTTGTTTATTTGTTCTTAAACGCCCCACTCAGAAATAGTCAGCTACACGACGACGACGACGACCTTTAAATATTCGAGTCTGGACCAGACAATCCAGTGATCGATATCGCGAGCAATGATCCATGCGGGGTACGATGACACGCAATCAACCAATTCACTGAGCCGGACCACCCGATTCACTGAGCCGGACCACCCGATTCACTGAGCCGGACCACCCGATTCACTGAGCCGGACCACCCGATCCACTGAGTCGCCTTTTACAACGAGCACAGGTTGCTAGGGAGCAATTCTAACCCAGCATCCCCAAGTGGTGTACAGGTAAATAGTGCGAGGGGACTATTAGAGGATGGGTAGGCATGGGTGAGGTGAAATAGGGTTAAACGTGTTCAAGATTATTGAACTTATATAGCGACATGCATGTAAACGTACGTGTGTGTGTGTGTGTGTGAGCATGTGAGGTGAAATGGGGCTTAACGTCGCGTCCAAGATTATTGCACTTATATATAGCGACGTGCAAGCAAGTGTGTGTGTGTGTGTGTGTGTGTGTGTGTGTGACTGCTTGTACTAGTCCGGACTGATGCCGATTTATAGTGCTAGCTCACTGAGATACCATGCCGCAGTTTAACATGAATATCCTACTCAGACACAGTATACTGCCTCCGAGCCGACCAGTCCTTGTTTTAGCCCCTTAATGCCGAGCGCCAGACGGGGTAACAACAAGTACCATCTTTTAACGTCTTTTGGTATGACGCGGCCGGGGATCGAACCCCGGACCTTCCGCTCTCCGGGCGGACGCTCTACCACTAGACGACGGAGGCGGTCGTGTGTGCGTGTGCGTGTGTGTGAGTGTGTGCGAGCGTGTGTGCTGCCACCTAGGTTTAATACCGATTTCATTGTGCCAGCCCACTGAGATAGCATGCAGCACTTTTCACATGGAAATACCGCTTAAACAAATACCGAATCCGAGACGACCAGGCTTTGTCTTGTTCCCTTATGCCGAGCAGGGTAACAACAAGTACCATTGTCTAACGTTAGTATGACGCGGCCGGGGTCGGACCACCGACCTCTCCGACGAGACGCTCTATCACCAAAACCACGGGCGGTCGCACTGACATACATGTAGTGTATATATAAACAACGCAAGAGGGACATAAGCTAGTTCTAAGCCACAGCGTAGAGACAAGCAGTGTGAGGGATGTTTGGATTTCAGTTACGTCCACAAGTGCAGAAACAAATATGCCGGTAACATGTCAGTGACGAGCGGACATATGTGAGAGAGCCGAGATATGGCAGCTTCATCAAATGAAGCCACATCCTTCACGTGCGCAGTGATAGCATGACAATAATTAGTGAGAGTCGTTTTTGTGGCGTCTCACAGTCTATGCTATATAGATCAGATGAAGTGATATACGAGTTTAACCTTGACATCGCCCTACATGCAGTTAATTCGTTCATCTGGAAAGGTCGCGTGACACCAATTTCCAAGTACACACCGTGACAGAACAGGTTTCAGTACACACGCTAAATATTCACGTTGTAACGGGTCATCACTGGAGGTTTAAGTTTTATAATGACCATCGACTAGCCAGAATATACTCACGGTTTGTAAGTCGTAGCGTAACTCCTCCAGAAGATCAACTGTGATCACGTGAGAGTTGATACCAGGTCACATGACCTGTAACGCCCCGGCGGGTTTGTATTGGACAGCAACCGACCTACACTCTCAACAACCCAATAATGTTATCTCGCTATGCGTCTCATCTGCAGCAAACAGGCTCGTACAAGTGTATTTTGATCTGCTCCTTGGTGTGTAAAGTACATCTGACTCCTCGTTATCTGCTGTCTGACAAAGGCCGCCAGACGATGTTCTGTTTGATTTGGGGTTTTTTTTGTCACCGATTCAAGATATAGAGTTTACAGGACGGCAGAAGTGTTGACGTGAGCGAGGTCACAGACGAGTTGGTTGGAATGTGCCAGGTCATCATGACACACGACATCCTCAAATTGCTGATGCATAAATTGATTCATAATATGTGATTCATAAACACTTGATCGGAACCGTACAATGGACTTTTAATAGACATTTTTTGTGGATTTTCAGTATCCATCCCGAGACTGGCTAATACAAGGACCAGTGCCGTGGCCAGCCGGCAATATTCCCCCCCCCCCCCCTTTTTTTTCTAGAATTTTTTTTTGGGGGTGAAACTTAACTTGAATAAGATATGAATAATCTTATTTGTGCCCCACAGGCCAAAAACGTTAACTACGGCCTTGAGGACTGGTCGGCGTGGAGTCAGTGTACTGTGCCTGAGTGGGGTATTCATGTTAAAATGCGGCATGGTATCTCAGTGGGCTAGCATCGGCATCATTTGTTTGTTAAACGCCGCACTCAGCAATATTCCTGCTATATGCCGGCGGCCTGTAAATAATCGAGTCTGGATCAGACAATCCAGTGATTGACATCATGAGCATCGACCCACGTTATTGGGATGCGATGACATGCATCAACCAAGTCAGCGAGCCTGACCACCCGATCCCGTTAGTCGCCTCTTACGACAAGCATAGTCGTCTTTTACGGCAGGCATGGGTTGCTGAAGACGTATTCTACCCTGGAATCTTCACTGGGCCTTCGGCGGGACGAGCGAACGCCTTTACCGCAAGGCTACCCCACCGCCCCCATATATGAATGTGATGCAGACCCACTTCCAAATAGTTTAGATGTCGTCTTATGTTACTTTGCTTATACTTGTTATTTCACAGGTAACCACCATCTTTTCTAATTATTGTTTTACAGAAATAGATTTACTCGCATCTATCATATAAGACCGCAAGATAGACAGAACGCACACATATATGTATCTGATGACATAACTTTCACTAAGACGCTATTGACCCAGCGTTTCAGTCGGAGATATTCTTCTTACCAAGGTCCTTACTAATTATATTAGATTTTCTGAGTCATTTTCAGCCCTTTTCCCGCACATACTTTGAATATTGCAAGGACCCCTTTTCTGCATACTATAACCAAATATCATGATCATTTAAACCGGCTCACTCATGACTGAGTAGAAAGTACATTGCCATCAATGTTTGCTTTCGCGGTGGTGCAGACATTAGTCAGATATTGAACAACATTGAAACACATATTTCAGCACGCGTAACTGGTTATTCAACAGAATATGTATTGCCGCCAGAGCTTGGTACACGATATACTGTAGTACGTTGTGCACCTTGACGACAGGGGTGATTCAGAAAACCTGCAAAACACAGACGTTCCACGTTGGTTGCTACTAAAGCCCATAAGGACCATCTTGGTATTTTGTTTTTTTCACTTTTCAAAGTCGTAATTACGACTTTTTAGAACTCGTAATTACGAGAATAAAGTCGTAATTACGAAACAAAACTCGTAATTACGACTTTTACAATGATAACAAGCGTATAGTCGACGAAGTCATCTATATCCCCCGCCATTTTAACACGTAAAGGTCCCAAACCTGGTAACTGACCCAACATTTCTCTTAGGCCATGTCAAAATAGCTGCAATGGAAATTCTAAAATAAACATTTATAAAACTCCTTAATATCAAATGGCACCAGTTCAATATGTGCTTTATATATAGACATACAATGTTTGAAAAGGAAATATTTAACAGTTTATTTGTTATACACCATAAGTTAACCCACCCTATATTAAAACTTAAATCCAACTTATTGCCATGGAAACGTAAAACATAAAAATCTATAAAACTCCTAAATAGCAAAAGGCACCAGTTCAGTATGTGCCTAGTAGACATGCAAAGTTTTGTAAGAAAGTATTTAATGGTTTTTGAGTTACGCTCCGGAAACGAACAGCACCCTTAGAGAACCTAAGTCCAACTTGTTGCCATGGAAACGTAAAAAAATAAAAATTTATAAAACTCCTAAATAGCAAAAGGCACCAGTTCAGCATGAGTCTGATAGACATGCAAAGTTTCGTAGAGAAATATTTAAAGGTTTCTGAGTTGTGCTCCGGAAACGATTTCGGGACGCACGCACGCACGCACGCACGCACAACGCACACACGCACGCACACACGCACGCACACACGGACGGACGGAACCCATTTCTATATCACCCGCCATCTTCGTTGGAGCGGGGGATAATGAAAAAATCACCATGATATAATGACAAAGCAATAAATAGATTCTTATTATAAATATTTTTTCTCGTAATTACGACTTTTAAAAGAGAAAAAACAAAATACCAATATGGTCCCAATGGGCTTTCGTAGGGTTGCAGCATTGCCGTTCCACAAATACATTTGCAAAGGTGTGTCATCAATAACAATATTCAGCATTACCATATAATATAACAGATGCAACTTTGCACATTTATGCCTATTATGGCAATCAAAGTCATGATTCTACTCACTGCCTAGCAATGTGTTCGTCATCCTGATAATCCAACATGGGGTCTTCTCACTGGTATGTCCCATGTGCTTCTGTCATGTGATCAATACCAGATCGAGGCTCATCCAAATAATTTAACAAAGTAACAAAGGTTCTGAAGGCATCTGGATTTGAGCCAACAAGGACAGGTATACATGCTCATGTAACATAACTTTAGTGCTCAGAGGACCTCGTAGAAGATATAAATTATACAGAACGTGGGACATTCTCTGTGAATGTTATTTGTCCCATGTAAATGATCTTTGAAAAATAACATTTCTGCATTTGGAAACCATGTCGCGAATGTTATATTCAAGTTGTTATGGCCAGATAAGAGCGCACGTAAAATCACCTTAAACAGCATCGAAATGATGAAATATTTGTTTGTTTGTTGTTTAACGCCGCACTCATCAATATTCCTGCTTTTGTGCTCCCACACATGTCTATGTAGTCATTCAGTGATACGGTGCTTGTTGTCTCTCGCTTTGTTTTCTCGTAATTACGACATTATTCTCGTAATTACGTCTTTTATCAAATGTTAAAAATACTTTCATTCACTTGTTCAAGGTTCAAGGACACCTCAGCTGAATTAGCACGTGTAGGGTTTGTATGTGGTTTTGGATTCTCGATTTCGAATCATATGCAGCTTTAGACAATAAATGTTAACAGGCCCTCTTCCCATGGCACATTGTGGCTGTGCTCACCATTTTCGGGGGCACCTGTTGTCATCACTGATTTTCGGTGATCCATTCATGTACTTTGTCTTTTAAGCCCAATGGAATCTTTTTCGGTGGGTAATAATAATGGAGACTTGTTTTCCTCTTTGACGTTTCATATTTAGTACGTGACCGCCTCATCGCGAAAGAACCCCAACTTTGGTCAGTAATTTTAAATAATTTTGTTTTGTTTGTTTCATTGTCTAACGCCGTACTCAGCAATATTCAGCAATATCAGACGGCGGTCTGTAAATAATCGAGTTTGGACCAGACAATCCAGTGATTGACATCATGAGCATCGATCCACGTAAATGGTTGGTTGGTTGTTTAACGCCGTACTCGGCAATATTCCAGCTATATGACGGCGGTCTGTAAATTATCGAGTCTGGACCAGACAATCCAGTGATTGATATCATGAGCATCGATCCACGCAATTGGGATCAATGACATGCTTCAACCTAGTCAGCGAGCCTGACCACCCGATCCCGTTAGTCGCCTCTTACGACAAGCATAGTCGCCTATTGCGGCAAGCATGGTTTGCTGAAGACCTATTCTAACCCGGATCTTCACGGGTCTAGTAATTTGAAATATTTATTCTGCTTGTTAAACTTCGAAAAATATCGCGTTGTAGTTTTTAAATTATTAAAGCCATATAAAGTATGTTTTTTCCAGAAACCCGGGCGACAACGACTTAAACATTGTAACATCGTCATGTATGGTGCCGTCAGGTTGGCTGTAGTGTTTGGAACGAAAGGGCACTTTTATCTTAATAAAACATATAGCTGGGATGAATCGGGTTCTCGAACCGAACATGTTATAAAGGTCTGCTTAATGACAGTAAATGTATCTGCGTTGGTCGATTGTATTCATGTTTTCTCCGCACTTACAAGAACTGTTATTGCTTGACTGATCACAGAACATATTATAATTGTTAGTGTTTTGCATTAACGATCTTTTAATGGACTCGTGGCAAGTTTCTAGCCTCCGTCATTACTGCTTCGTGCTTGATGTTCTTGAATAGACTCATTTCGTCGTTCACGGTAACAAGACAATCCTTCAACCTTGATAATGCTTCTTCTTTATATGACCATTGAGAGAGATAATATTAAGCACATGGATCATCCCTACTGTTCATCAGCCTCTCATCAATGTGTACTGTCTCATTCTCCTACAAAAAAAAAGAAGTATAGATCCTGATTTAAACATGTAATAACTTAATTTAGCCAATTTGCAATATCATTCGGACGAACGCCAGTCTGTATTCAGAGTATATGGTATTCTTTTCTTTTCTTAAACCTAAAGGGGGCACGGGTGGCCCAGTCGTCTAAGGCGCCGCGATTCGCTGTGCAGAGTTGCGTCCCTTGGGCACGCCAGAAACCTATGATTGTGGGTTCGAATCCCGGTTCGCCCCAATTATGTTTCTAGGTTTGTCAGCACCATACCAGTGCTCGTGGTTTTCACCGAAGTGATAAACGTCTGGGACCTGCATCACTTCGGGCTTTCCTCCCACATTAAGCTGACACGCCGCGATATAACTGGAATACTGTTAAAAGCGGCGTTAAACCCAACTCACTCACTCACTCACTCTTAAATCTATATGATTTAACTTCTCAATTGAAAAAAAGATAGGTGTTCTATTGCGGAGGCCTACTTATTAACTATCGTTGTTTCTTTGTTTGTTGTTTAACGCCGCACTATTCAAGCTATATGACAGCGGTCTGTAAATAATCGAGTCTGGACCAGACAATCCAGTGATTGACATGAGCATCGATCCATG